TAGTTTTAGCTAAGTTTCTTTTTTATCTTGTACTTTTTGTTTCTTTATCTTACCACTTGTTATTCATTTTCTATGCTCTACCTAGTGTTGTATTTCCAAAAGAGAATATGATAGGTATGTAAGTACTTGAGTAGTATTTGAGTACATTAGGGATATATTGTATTCAGACACGTCTAATATTGCTTTTACATAAAGTAATAGTAATTATATTGCTACTACACTACATTAAATTGGTTTATAATTCTATTTTCAGTTCAAATGATCATAATGAGTACGTAACCAAAATCACGCTACTTGTGCACAAGACATATTGGGTTGTGCTGGTATTTACAAAGCAGTCTGGCATTTCAGGGTCAATAACAGAACAAGACACAGTAGAATTAGCAGGCAATAGTGTGGTCAAAGTCCAGTGCAGATTAAAAGTCACAACTGTGATTCTCGGCATCAAAGTTCAATTTGGGCAGCAAAACACATTGAACCAGAATTCCTGTAGTCAAGGCACAGAGTATTCTGGGTTGGACTGTCACAATAATTGCTTAAACCTGACTGATCTGAGGCAGAGGCTATTATGAGTTCCTGGCTTCCACTCTAGCACTTTCAGCTCTTATCAGAATGAATAATAGATACTAGTCTACTTTGGTGTAACAGCCTACTTCCAGATTTTTCTAACATATTTTCCTAAGCAATCTGGCACTCCATTGTCTCTGAATGCAATAGCATCAATATTCCCATGGGACTGGAAGCTATGTTTCTATGACAGTATCAAATGTAGGCTTGCAGAGCTGGGATCAATGGAGAATGCATTTGGCAATTTGAGAATGCTGGCACTGTTGGATCACACATGTCATGTTCTTTATCCAGTTCCTGCTCTTATCCCTCTTCTTCGGAAGAAGATTCTCCTGAAGGGCTTATGGCAATATCAGCAGGCTCTGGATAACTCACATGTCCGAAGAATTTTTTTTAAAAACCAGTGAAGATTCAGTGGCCACAGAATACTAATGAACTGAGGAGAAAGCAATAGATAACTGGTGGAACAGCCCAGTGAAGCCTAAGACAAGATCTCCACTAATGACTTATAGCACCTTCTAGCGTCACCTAGTCATCACTGACATCATATAAACTCTGTCCTTAGTGCTGTCATTTTAGCACAATTGAATGACTCTAGAAAACATTAAAAGTCACTGGTATGGGTCTTCCTTAAAAATCCTGGCAAGGAGAGAAATAAACAGGAATATCCTGGAAAAGGTTAGTGGGAAGTTAGCCGAACCAAAGCATTTTATATTGCAATATTTTATTGTAAGGCCTATACTGAATTTTTTATATTTGTGAATCATTTTGTAGGATTTGAAACAGCACTGCATGAAACACCAATGAAAAGGTATTTTCTGTATTAGGAACCAAATGACAATAAATTAAAGAATTACAATTAATACTTTTTAAGAGAATAATTGCTTTAGTATGTGGCTAATGCTTTTGAGATTATATATATATATATATATATAGTATATATATGTATGTATGTATATTCTAAATTTAGGACAGTATCTGTTTATTATGCAAACTAGTATGACATCAGAGCACAGTGGAACAGAGAGACAGAATTTGAAAGAGCACATTCTGTAATAATTTGGGTGTATCACAGAAACCAAAGCTATCTACAGCAGTCTGATAGTGAAAAGAATTGCCATTTCAAGTTGCGTTGCATGGGAAGTGTGGTATCCACTCAAGTCCAGTCTTCATTTCCTCTCAATTTCAGGATATTTTTAAGAATGTGTAGTACTGACAGACACAACTCTACAGCTGAGCAGAAAGAATTTTGGTTATTCACAACTTTGCATTTATGTAAGTGTGCAACAGTATAAAATGTGGCTGAATACAAACCATTTCTACTCCCCCCACCCCATCAAGGGAGAAAGTGGAGGCGGGATACTGCTAAACTGAGGTTACAGTGGGGCAAAAAAGTATTTAGTCAGCCACCAATTGTGCAAGTTCTCCCACTTAAAAAGATGAGAGAGGCCTGTAATTTTCATCATAGGTATACCTCAACTATGAGAG